TATTATTATTATTATTATAATGATAATAAATGTGCGATAGCCAAACAATAGTTTTATTTATTGAGAACCTGCGTGAATTAATAAAAAACACAATGGCAATAACTATATATGACCCCTGTACGGGTGGGCTCCCCTTTTGTTATTTTCGTGATTTTTCCAACCCCAGGAACCTAAAGAAAGCGTCGAAATGTGCAACAGGTGCAGCTCCCGGGTTTACCCCCTAGAAAAAATTACCCTCCACGGTCTTATTTATCACAAGGGTTGCTTCAAGTGTATGGAATGTAACGCTGTTTTAAGGTAAGGTTTTCCTTTCTTTTTTAACATTGCTCTCCTATTTTCCTTGGGGGTAAAAAGGACCCCTTGTGTCTTTTATCGACCCGACATTTACTACAGTTGGAAAACATGCTTTCCGATTGAAAGATTTTTAATTAATACGATGGTCGAGTGGGGATATCATACGTAATACGTGCTTACACTTGTCATAAGACATTTTTAAATTAATTTTTAATCACAATTTTGAATCTATGACTTAAAATATCCAAAAAACACCTTTACCCCTTTATTTCTGTAATTTTGGGGATGTAAAAATGAATAGTATTCAATCTCGTATATTTACAAAAACTTTCTATCCTGTACATATTACCCATAATTATTGGAAAAAAATTGTTGCTGTTGTCACGCCCTCGCCGGGAATCGAACCTGGAACTCTTGGTTTTCCGTACCATTCTTAGAGTCTCGGGTTCGATTCTCGGCGAGAGTGTGATAGCAGTAACAATTTTTCTCTATTAATTTGAGGTTACATGCAGAGTATAGAGGGTTAATTAGAAAATAAAGTTTAATATTGCATAATATTCACCCAGACAGAGAGTGCGGACGTCATTCACAATTTATGGGCTATCAATATTTCCTAATAGTGAAATATCCGTTTTTTATTTGTTTTTTTTTCTTTTTTTTTTAATAGGATGGACTCGTACTGTTACAATAAGGGCTTTTTGTACTGTCCGGCACATTTTAAGCGTCTTTTTATTTCGAAAGGGGACTACGATACAGGTTTCGGTTTGGATAATACCAAGGACAAATGGAATGTTGTAGCCTCGTAGTTAAAAAAAATAAAACCTGTGATATTTTTTAAAAAAGTAACTTCTCGATAAAAAAAAAAACTAAAACACTTCTTCGAGGTACTTAAAATGTATTTTCCGATTTGATTTTTTTTATATGTGTAAACAAACGCGGGATCGTAATCATCAAATTGTTTTGTCGAAAATTTCGAGACGATTATCAAATCGATGTTGTTTCGACTTGCCGTTTATCCAAGTCCTATCCCGAATGGTGCCCTTTTTTTTTATCACATAATATGTAATTTTTAAACATTAAATAAGATGTTAGTTACTAGGTTATTTATCGTTTTATATAATACAAAGAAAAAGTCCAATTTTTTATTATTATTACGAAATTCTA